TAATTAGAGAATTTCTAGCAGCTCCTTTCAAAGGCAGCAGTGTTAACTCTGTCCTGGTCAATTTCCAAACTTGTTAAGTCCTTCCTAAATTCTTTGTGAAATTGGCTACAGTGATCATTTCCTGCATTTAACTGTAGTGTGGTGCTGCTTCGTACTGTGGCACAGTTGCTACATCTCCTTCCAAAGAGCCTGCCTTATAATGATAAATTATGTCATTGCTGTATGTACAATTGTGAAAATGGTTTGGGGTTACAACGGCGATACAAATGCAAGATGGTAACATAAATGAAGTTTTGATGACATCTGTCCTGTATGTAATACCGTCAGCTCATGGTTTCCTTCTTCATACTCAGGTGTGGCTGTAAAAAGAGCATGAACCATGCAAAGGAAGGAGTCCCTCATGAATCCAAGAGTCGATGCAGATATTCTCACCAATATGATAACAGAGTCTACACTTGCAAGGTGAGTAGCAACACAATGACAAGATCTGAAGAGTGGAGATGGAAAGGATGGCTCAATAAATTAGGAATATCACAGTCATGTTCTTGTTTTCTTCTATTTTTTCAAGTGTGGGAGGTGCTCGTGGCCTTGATGAGAAAAAAAATTATCTCTTTTGAACTTGTATTTTTACTTGGAGAGGTCATCAGTTCTGCTTGCTATGTTTCAGTTGCTATCTAAATTCTGAACCTAGTTGCTCTCAACCTGGGTGGTATCTGGCTTCTGCACACTTGATATGGTTACTCTTCTGCTTATTCCCGTTGCTTGGTATTAGCCAATTTTTCTGAAGGATGTGTGCAAGAGACAGGAAAACTTTTAGCTACCATCTTGGGTTTTTTTGTTGTAGAAATATTTCCCTGATGTCACTATCAACAGTGGGATTTGTTTAGTTATTTTTTTAAATCAGTTCTGATGAGTGCTTTCCTTTGATGTGGAGACCACTGTATGCCAATTACATGTTCTTGCAGCTGTTTGGGCACACAGGCCCAAAGTCTGGGATTCCCAATACAGCAGTTTTATTTGAGCCTTTGTGTTACAGGCCTGTTATGAGCGAGGGATGGAGGTCAGTGTGGTGCCAAAAACCTCTGCTTCCACTGACTCCCCTTGGCTGGGCCTTGCCAAATATGCCTGGTCAGGGTGAGTACTGCAGCCAAGATCTCTGTTGTCTCTGCCTGGTGCACTGGACTTGCAGTGTCTCACTGAGGTAACCTGTCTCCCTCCTCTGCAGGTATGTGATTGAGTGTCCCAACTGTGGGGTGGTGTACCGCAGCCGGCAGTACTGGTTTGGCAACCAAGACCCTGTGAACACTGTGGTGAGGACAGAAATTGAACATGTCTGGCCAGGGGTAAGTGTGGTTGCTGGGTAGTCTCTGTGTATGTGCGCAGCCACACACGTTTTATTTTGGTTCTTCTGGACATTGATGGAGAAAATTGATGGGCTGTCATTAGAACCTGTCCCTCCCTCTGCTGTTTAAAAGAACCTTTGCAGGAGCTTTCAGTCATCTTTTGGCTATCTTGAAATGGCTAAGTTGCCAGTTTATGAATGCTTTGTGTGAGTGATACACTGCTAAAACCTACCCGTGTTTCAAAGCAGGGCTGGTGAATGTTTTTCTCATACTTGCCCTCCAATTCAACAGGAGCAGTGGGTGAGGGCCATCTGCTTCTAAAAAAGCGAGATGTCCTTGTTTTTATTCTCAAATGAGTATCCATTTCATTCCAGACTGATGGATTTCTAAAAGACAACAACAATGCAGCCCAGCGTTTGTTGGATGGAATGAATTTCATGGCACAATCCGTATCTGAACTTAGCCTGGGACCTACAAAAGCTGTGACCTCTTGGTTGACAGACCAGATTGCCCCAGCTTACTGGAGACCCAACTCTCAGATCCTGGTAAATAGTAGTTGCTGTAGAGAAAAACTTTGTATAGCTAAAAACCTTTTTCCTCACCCTTTACTATGTAGTACTTTTATATTACTTTAAGTAAAATAGTATTTTACAGGTTCCAAGTGCTTCTTGTTTTATTGCAGCAAGCTCTTCTATAATTTTGAGAGAACTGAAATGCTTTCAGCTCTTCCTGTTCTTGACTCAGCCAGAGAAAGTATGAACAGAGTCTTTGGCCAGCCCTGCTGAAGAGAGTGTTTGCTCCTTCTTTTTGTGATGTCCTCTTGGATGATGTGGCTGTAATTAATTGTGATTGTGAATGAAGGGATCATACCAATCTGTTGGTTTAACCACTGTGCATCTACCTGTCTGAATCACTTCCCTAGGGCAAAGTTATGGGACTGGTAGTGCCCAAGTCTTGCATGTAATTGTGTTTTTCAGTTTCAGTCTGAGTTTTGCCATGCTGGGATTCTGCTCTCTGTTTTTCTAATCAGGAAGATCAAACTAACAGTTTTTCTTTCTATGTTGTTCTGAGTAGAATTGTAATAAGTGCAACACACCTTTTAAAGATAATGACACTAAACATCACTGCCGGGCCTGTGGAGAAGGCTTCTGTGATGGCTGTTCTTCCAAGACCCGTCCGGTGCCTGAGCGAGGCTGGGGACCAGCACCAGTGCGTGTGTGTGACAACTGCTATGAACACAGGGGCATCCAGTTAGGTAATTTTGAGTTGATTGTGACAAAATTATCCCTGGGCAGTAGTTAGTTTGCTTTGTCCCTGGCTTCTGGTTCACAACCATTCCCATTGGGTGCAGACAAACTGGGCTTTGGCACAGACGTTTTAGTAGGGAAGATCAAGAGCTAAGTGTCTTTTGGCAGGAAGATGACTTTTGCAAGGAGCTACCAGGTATCTGACCCCCTGAGAAAATTGTTTTCTAATTGGATTACTGGCACCTGTTGATGGGGTGAAGCTAGCATCAGAGCAGGTTGCACTTTCAGCAGACTCTGTATTTTGTCAATTATAGCTAAAATGAAAGTGAAAACTCTGCAGTCCAGGACTGGGGATGTGGAAGATAAAGCCTGAGCAGAGGCTTTAAGCTGCCTGTTGGGTTTGCAGCAGGTTTTTGCTAACATAAATGAACTGAAAGTTGGCAGAAATTACACTGGACTTTGGTGTTGAGCCCTTTGTCTTTGTCTCATGCAGATGTGGCTGAGCTGCCTTCAGATGAGGAAGGGGGGACACTTATTGCGAGGAAGGTGGGGGAAGCTGTGCAGAACACTCTTGGAGCAGTGGTGACAGCCATGGATATTCCCTTAGGTGAGCTCTGTTCTTTTCTGTTTGATTTTTTTGTCTAGAGGCACTTTTGTTTTCAAAAAGCAAACCTGATTTAACTTCAAGAGTTTGTGTGACAGGCTGGCACCTCCACTATGATACAGCTGTTGGTTGAGAGTTTTAGTCTTTTGCACCTCTCTTCTGTAATGTTTCCTCTTGGTTTTCAGCATATTGTTTCTGCAGTTTATACCTTCTCTTTTCTCCCTGTCATGCAAATCTGTGTGTACAAGCTATAAGTAATTCTTACTCCCCTGATGCTTCACTGCTGTGACCTGCCAGCTGGCATTCCCTAAAGACTGGCCAATTATCTTCCAGAGATATTGAGTGTCTTTTAAGTGTTTTCATGGATACTGCTGGCACTTGGTACTTATGCAAGGCAGGGCTGAGAATCTGAAGCTTTCCAGGTTGGTGATGGTAGGAAAGTAACAGTAATGTGATCTTTAATGGTGAGCTTAGTACAGTGAAAGTTTGCTGCTCTTTCAAGTGCTGGGTAGCAGCTCAGGTATGCCAGCAAACATTTTGTATTTGAACCCTTCTGTTGTTGGACCTGACTTCCTGCTCATTGTGCAGATCATCATTCCACTGCTTTGACTACAGCATGTCCTGCCATCACCCTTGTGGTTGTTTGCTACCCAACTCAATGAAAGGAAGGATACATCCCTTTCTCAGTTCAGACACTACATGCCTCTCTGAATGTTTGGTTTGGTGATTGTGGGTTTTTTGGCCAAACTGAAGGTAGGGGAAAGCAAGTGTTTCAACCTCTGGAAGAGTGTAAGGGAAGATGCCACAATTTAAGGGGAAACAATCTGTCCCTTTGAAAAAAGGCAGAATGTGGGAGAATGGCGCAAATGGCTACCCACTGTACTGAAGTATTCTGTCAGTAGGTCTTCTCAATAGGACTTGCAGTGTGCGTGTGTGCTTCCACTGGAGTACATTCTTGACATGCTTATGTTTACAGATTATTTTCTTCTCCTTCTTTCTCCTCCTCCCACCTCACTTCCTCCACAGGGCTGGTAAAAGATGCTGCCCGACCTGCATACTGGGTACCAGACCATGAAATCCTTCACTGCCACAACTGCCGGAAGGAATTCAGTATCAAACTCTCCAAACACCACTGTCGGGCCTGTGGCCAGGGATTCTGTG